GAGAGAGAGGGGGAGAAACTGATTTCCTGAATCAATTTCTTTTCTGCTTCTGAGGAAGGACAACAATATTCACGTTTCAATTGTCAACTTGGCTTAACTTAGCAACTTGCAAAATAAAAAAGAAAGCTTATAGAAATCTATTGAATTTGCTCAGTACTAACTGGAATGAGAAATAGTTCCAATTTCTCTGTCAGATGGAGAGAAAAGGGGGTTACATTTCAACTTCTTTATTAGCTCATTTTGATAATGCAATTACCCATACAGTGAACTTTTTAAAGGCACATAGCACATGCATATTCTCACAAAAATGCTGCAAAAATACTGGAACAAAGTTAGTTTAAATACGTTTATAGCATGCAGAGATTGAGAAAACTGGTTACCACTGTCCAATATGTGAAAATCAGCTTAATTTTTGCATATATATAGTGGTGATATAACTGAGTAATGAGTTGCCATTTTAGCATGTGAATGGAAAATTGAAAAAGTTTTGACATGGGGTGAAGCAAGCTAAGGCTTGTTTGGGGAAAGGCTAGAAGTATGCAAAGGCAATGATGATGGGCAAGAAACAGGAGAGTGAGAAATGTATGGTCTGGAGTTCCCTTAGTTTATTAAGACAAGACCTGATTTCTGAACCAGTTGCTAGACAAGGAAGGAAAACTAGTGAGAAAATTAAGGCGCTTTAGATCATAATCTTCTTGGGAGAGATACTAGGCCACAGAATAGGCAAAATATCACAAACACATGGGAACATTTTTCTGAAGAAAAACTAACTTTTGAGAACATAATAAAACACAATAAGGTGACAGTTTCCATAATAATAATAATATCTTGTTCTAGATTATTCAAACAACAAAGAAGGACAAAGATATCTTCTCAAATGTGTAACCAACAAGGACAAAAATAGACAGGAATGGAAATCTATAAAAAGAATAGATAAACAACAAATATGTTGGACCAGACCAAAAATTAGAGAACATAATTTCTCCCACTTTTTCTTCAGAAGCTACTTAGGATGCATGTGTGAGAACAAATAAATAGCATCACTAATGCTTTACATAATAGATATATTCCTGGCGCATTTGCTTGGAATAGAGATCAATATTCCATTTATTCTAAGAAATCTTTCATATTAAGTGCTTTCCTATTTAAGTTACTTACATAGATAACTTACACAAATAACAATAATAATAGCATTGTTTCTGTCTCTGCAATGTGGACGTAATATTTGTTTTGTCTAATGTCCTCTTTTAATTATTCCACAGACATGACCACTCTGCTTTATGTTATGAATGTTATCCACCATAAACACATGTCTTCGGGTCACTACCACCTGTCCCTAAAGTTGGCATTGTCAATTCTTGATGGGAAAAAAATCATGGCACATCAGCCAAAACTTGGGGTGAGAGCCAGAGAATAAGATTTCTCTACAAGTTGTGTTGCTTCCAGTTACCATGAAACATTAGGTTTACTGCAGATAATATACAGAGTAAAATTGTGGCATATTTGGAAAATCAGAAATAAAAATATGCTGATTCCAAGCTATGGGATGAATTCCCTCAGGATCTGCTCTCAGTACTTTCAAAAGGTAATCAAGTTCTTTTTCTTCAACTATGCATTCAGTGAGCTAGTTTAAACATGATTTTTATTTGTTTTAATGAGATTTGAAAGTATCTTCCTTCTTTCCTTCCTTCTTTCCTTCCTTCCTTCCTTTCTTTCTTCCTTCCTTCCATGAATATCAAGCCTTGAGAAAAATAATTTTAAAAATATGCAAGCTGGTGATCTGGTCTTGGAATTAAGCATATAGAAACTATTTGTTTTGTAGACGGGGATAATAGACACAAGATACTTGTTCTGCTATTCTTTGTGTTTTAAGAAATTGCCTAAGCTGTAGATAGATTTAACTTTTCTCTTTCTTAAAGTTCATCCTGCTGGGATTTTTTAGGAAGAAACCAGTAATTGTTTGCAATGTAAGCATTCACTAGAAACTAAACGAGTATCAGTGGAGGATTTAGAACAAATCCTATTACATCTGTTGAATTGCTAATACGCTTATTAAAAGTAAAAGTATGATTGTAGCATGTACTCCTTCTTAGGAGGCGTTTTACATGCATTTACCCTTTCTGTGATCAAATATCAGATGAAAAATGAATGAACTATTAGGAATATTTAAAATCACATTGAAAAAATGGAGATAATCGGAGGTAATGATAATTAAATAAAGCAGACTGGTTTTGGCTAAGCTATATCTCAAAACGCACAAGGAGTTATTAAATAAATCAAAGTCAAGACACAGAAACACTTCCCAGAGTATATAGCTTGGGAGTTGTCACATATAGAAAAGCTATAACATAACTATAGAAATTTAGGCATTATGAGTTAAAGTACAAATGGGGCAAAAAAAAAAATCCACTAAGCCAAATGTTTGACTGACTGTCTGTCTACAGTCCGTGTGTCTGAGTCCCTCTCTCTCTTCCTCCCTCCCTCCCTCTCTCCCTCCCTCCCTCTCATGCCATTTTTCCTTTAATGAAACTCAAGGTGGCAAACATATCTAAATGCTCTTTCCTCCTCCAATTCTTCCCACAACAACAACCCGGTGAGGTGAGAGAGATTGGCCCAAGGTCACTCAGCTGGCTTTCATGGCTAAGTTGGCACTAAAACATACCATGTTCTGATTCCTAGCCTGGTGCCTTAACCACAAGACCAATCATGGCTGTTAGTGAATAGATTATAATGGATAACAGATCTCAAGAATCATTTTTTTAAAAAGTAGATCTCATGATCCAAATTTTATCGCATGAGGAACAACCAAGAAATGAAGTAGACCCCATTATTATTCTCAGTAAAAAAAAGAATATCCAAGTGTCAGTATTAAAAGAGGGTCCCAGTTTCCCTAACACTTAACGAGATACTTCTTCACATTTAAACCATTGTCTTGCCAGTTTACAGCCACAAATCAAAATTTAAACAATAGATTTTAAAGAATGCTACAATCTAGCAAAAGTTTTTGAAGAAGGCCACAAAATTAAGGAATTGTAATGTACAGTCTATAGCATATAGACCATGGCATAAATGTTGTGCCAGTAACATTCATGTTTTCCCTGCCCAAACATAAATGTTGTAATTTTTTTGACATTTACATTTAAAAGGCCAATTATTTTGAAGTCTCTCAAGATTTGCTGAAATAATAACAAAATGCTTTAGTGTTTCTCAGGTCACAGGAAGGAAAATTTTGATTTACCGGTAAGTATTTCCATCCCAAACCTATCTTTCAGCTTGTCAAAAATAGTCTCGGTGGCTTTACTTTATAGAAAAACACTATTCTTATTAGAATAATCTAACTGGATTTTAAAAGCACTTGCTAGATATCCAATAGATAGAAATTTAAATCTCCTTTAATACCAACAACTTTAGTATTTACACGTTGGAATGGACAGGTTCTTTTAACCTATATTTACTTTAATGAGTACTATTACAATTCTTTTATAAAAAAAATATTTTGGATTTGAACATGGTGATTTTTGTTGTAGCATATGGTAGACATTTTAAATTTATCATAGCAATTTTAAAAATTGATCGTGAAGATAATTCATATATATCTACCCTGTTTTCCCCAAAATAAGATATCCCCTGATAAGCTCAAACAGGCTTTTGAGCACATGGCAATAAGGTCAGGCACTTATTTCAGTATTCAAAAAAATATAAGACAGGGTCTTATTTTTGGGGAAACACGATATTATAACTTGTCAGTGGCTAAGACACTGAGCTTGTCGATCGAAAGGTCAGCAGTTCAGCAGTTCGAATCCCTAGTGCCGCGAAACAGGGTGAGCTCTCATTACTAGTCCCAGCTTCTGCCAACCTAGTAGTTCGAAAGCACATAAAAATGCAAGTAGAAAAATAGGGACCACCTTTGGTGGGAAGTAACAGTGTTCCATGCGCCTTTGGCATTGAGTCATGCCAGCCACATGACCATGGAGATGTCTTCGGAGAGCGCTGGCTCTTCGGTTTTGAAACGGAGATGAGCACCACCCCCTAGAGTCAGGAATAACTAGCACATATGCGCTAGGGGAACCTTTACCTTTTTAAATTATGTTGGCAGGAAAGGAAACATATCTCATCCTCTTTGATAGCAATCTACATTTAATCCTTTTGTTGTTTTAAATAACTGGAAAAGTCACCTAATAATGTTTTACAACTAATTGTACTGTTTGTTGTTTTAAATAACTGGAAAAGTCACCTAATAATGTTTTACAACTAATTGTACTGTTTGTTTACTATATATTAAGGCAAATAAAACTGATGTGTGACATTAGAAATGAATTCCTTTCCTGAATTTTAATTGCCAAGTCTGTAACTACAAAACACTAGGAAATGTTAATGTACCTTTTTATTGAATCAGTTGAGTGTAAAGGTGTGGAAAATTGCTTTGGCATAAAAATTAACAAAACCAAGAACTTTGAAAATCCTACATTTATTCAATATACTTTCCAAAGAGATTACTTTGTCTATACAAATACAATTCTGAAAAAAAAAAAAAAAAAAACCTAAATAAATAAGTTTAAACATTTTTATTTCTCAGTGTGATAAATTACAGCAAGATTCTATACTCTATTTATGTTCTTAATATAAATAATTATGTGGAGCCAGCTGCACTCAGAATTCCCCATACCGTTCAGATTTCTCCATGCCAATGCTATGAAGTAAGCATGTACTGAAAGCATTAACATGAGCTAGTTTATATTACAACTATTATCAAAAGTTCATTCGTGGTGGGAACTATAATCAGCAACATTCAGATATCAATTTTTATTATGAAAGATAATCCTTCAACAGAATTACAAAATACAGAGGTATACCTCTCTGGAATATTACTAGGTTTACAGCACTTAAAAACCACCTCAGCTGCCTAGAATCGGAGTCTAACAACAGCATTTGCATTACAACTTGGCAATTGAATCGCGTAACAGTATAGCAAAAATAAGTATCAGCATGCAGACTCTTACTTTAACTTCCACCGTCTTTCCATTGGGGTCAATATGCCTCTCAAGATATTCTGAAGACAGTAGATCACTGAAACAATAGGAAAAAATATTTATTTATTTATCAAATCTATATGCCTTTCATTTCATGAGAAAAATTATACACATGCACCCACACACAATTATTTTCCACTATATTTCTGTGCTAACTACCTAGTAAAAAGTACCATTTGTGTATAAACCTGATAGAAACTATTTTTTGTATGTGTTCATATATTGCTAAAAACACTTGGCAGGTAAATCCATTAAGCCTCTGTTTCAAATGCAATATTTTTCTCATCATAATGTATACAACACCTACACTTAAAGATAACTCGGTTGCTTTTTAATATGTAAATACTGTATGTATGTACTGCATGCAGCCAAGGCCTCTTCTCAAATAAAATATAAAATTTATTATAAAGTATTGATTCCATGACTGCTATCACTGTCTCACAAACAATATTATCTAGAAATCAGTTTGCCCATAAAATGTATTACTTTTTTCTAAGTATGATAAAGCAAACAATATCTGGCAGGACTCATTTCTTTTTGCTTTTGACATTTTAATCCTCTAGTACGTATTAACACATTATGAAACTGCGCAACATCATCTTTATTTCAAATATTCTCTCATTGTTACTAAGGTGAATTACTTCTGTGGAAGTAATCATTCTGGTCACATGAGGAATTCTGGCATGTTATAAATCAGGGATATCAAACTTGTGGCGTCACCACATGACGTATCATGACTTTTTTCCCCTTCGCTAAACTGGGCATGGGCGTGGCCACAGTGTGACACATCCGACCCGCAGGCTACAAGTTTGACAGCCCTGTTATAAACTTTCACACAACCTTAAAAGGGGATAGGATTCAGGGCACAGGCATAAAAAGTTTCTCAAAATCCCCAATATAATGCTCATGGATGTTAGGAGACATGGGCAAAACATTTTGAGCTTAAGCCATCTGATTTGAAACAGGCTTTAAAACTCTTTTGAAAGTATCTGTTGTGAGCAGGGGTTGGTTCTAAAAATTTTTACTACCGGTTCTGTGGGCGTGGGTTATTTTGTGGGTGTGGTTTGATGGGCATGTGACAATTCTTTAGGATTTAACAGAGGTACTGGTCTACCAGCTTTTAACTGCTTGCAGAGCTGTACCAGTCTACCCATTTGTTCTTGGAGCATTCCGATCTACCCATTTGTTTTTGGAGGCACCGGTCTACCCATTTGTTTTAGGAGCACACCAGTCTACCACCACACTGCCTTTTAACACTGATCAGCTGTAGGGCAGCCCTTTGAAGCCTCCCGGCAAGAGTTTAAACAGTTTTTTTCTTTCTAGCCGATCAGCTGGGATTCGGGCGGCAGTGAATAGATTGGGGTTGGGGCCAAATAAAAGGTAAGAATAACGCAGGGGTGGGTGGGAGGGCCCAGCTCCCAAACAAAGAGAACCGGTTCGGTGACATCATTTTATCACCGCTATTGGCTCGGCTGAACCGGGCCGAACCGGGAGGAGCCCACCACTGGTTGTGAAATTGAAACACTTCCCAAATATTCAGAACTCAAAGTGTTTCAAATTCAAAATGGAGTATTTTGAGCAGAAATGTCTTAATTTGAAACTTTTTGCACCTCCTAAATATTAGCAAGTTTTGAGGGCACCCTACCTTCTGACTTAAGAGCATGTGTCAGGTGCATATAAGCAAATTCATACAATATCTATGTGCACAAGAAAGAGGGCATTTTTGAAAGGAAAGCACTCGCCCTCACACTCTTTTTATTTTTAAAATTATTTCTAGGTTCCACGGAGAGAAAATTGCATGGAAATGCTTTTCAAAGCCATGATTGGTACAATCAACACCTCTTTTCTGAATACAAAGCACAGAATGCAAAACTCATTTCACCCAGGCAAGAATCATCCTGATATTTCATCTAACATCACTTAAGATAAAAAGTATGTTAAAAAATCAGATTTCTAGAACCTTTTAATGCATTGCATAACATTTCATTTATTTTTATAAGTGGCTGGACAAACAACAGCACAATATTTGTTTTGAAGAACTCTAAACCTAGATGTACACGTAATTCATTAAATCCGATGGCCAGCTTGATAAAATTTTAAGCAAATAATATACAAATAGTAATTCAGCTGTTAAATAGCATGATGAAACTGGGTACATACGCAAATACACCACAAAAACAGTCTAAAGTACTCAAGACATTCAAAATACACATTAAATTGTGACCAGTTAACAATCTAATGGCCAATGATTCCTTCCTATCACATAAATTTTTGCAATATTATATGTAACAAAGTCCTTTTTAATTTGACAGTAAGGAGGAAACCATCCTGATTGAATTGAACAACGCAACAGATGAGCAGCAACATAACTGGTATGGTAATCTGTATAAATTTACAGTAGTCTAAAATATGAACATAATAAGATAGTTTGGCCCTATGGTTAAAGACACCAGGGTAGGAACCAGAAAATCTTAAGCATAAAATCATGTGGAAGATTTGAGCCAATCAGTCTCTCTCAGCCCTATGAAAAAAGCAATGGAAAACCACTTTGGAAAATATTGCCAAGAAACTGCCTGGATTTATTCAGGCAGTTTTGAGCAATTAAGTCATGGTTTAAACTCTGCTTTCTGTGACTGCTAATAGAAGCACATCAACTATATTCTTTCTGCCTCCCCTGTCTTTGGGGAATAAAGAAAATAGCTAGCATATTTTCTTATACAGAATTTTCTATTTTTAAATAGAATTCACAAAATACATTGGGGGGGGGCGTGTAACCAGAAAACCTTGATTCTACTACATCCATAATTCTACTCTGATCTTTTTTATAACTGGCTTGGTAAGATAAGGAATTGCCTTCTCTTCAATTCTCCCTACCCACCTATCTCCCATTGTTGTCCCCTTGGTTGCCAGCCTACTCCTGCCACCAGCTCCCCTGCTGCCCACCACACCATGCAAAAATACTGTACTGGCAAGCCCTTTTTTTTGTGCCCCTTCCTTCATGCCGGTGCAGCCAGGGTTTGTCTTGCACCTTGTCCTCCAAATTGAGGTCTTGGGCAGGGCATGAGAGAGGCCCCAGTTGCTCTGGCACAAAAGGAGGCAGCATCAAAGAGGGACCTGGTCAGCACAGTAGTGGTAGGCAGTGTCATGGGCACTGTGGCAATGGGCAGAGTCAGCTGGCAACAGTGAGAAGAAGAGCAGCCAAAAGGCAGTTGTCAGTGCAGGTGAGTTCAAATGTGCTAAACATGAACACACATCAATGCTGCAACAGTCAGAACTTCAAGATGGCTCTAAGTCTCTTTGTTCAGCATCGTTGTAACTTCAAATGTTTGCTGAACAAAAGGATATTAAGTGAGGATTATCTGTACTTCCTTAGTTTTGTTACAACTGCTTTCTGGAAACTGCTCCATTCTGTTTATCAAGGAATCAGTGATTTAACTTGCCCCAACCACTGTATCCTATTAATGATCTACTTATCTTAAATTATCAGGTTTGGTCTAGAGATTAAGCCATTGAGATAGAAACCAGGAGACTGAGAGTTGTATCCCACCTTGGGCACAAAGCTGGCTAGGTGACATTGGCTGATTTACCCTCTCAATCCTAGGAAGGAGACAATGGCAAACCTCTTCTGAGCAATCTAACTCAATCCAAGAGTTGACTGGACAGAATCACAGTAACAGTCAGAGACTAATCACAGATAGTTAAATTTCTTTGTAGTTGCTGAATCATATTAAATATTCATCAGTTGCCGGACTACGATATTTAAAAATAAATTCTTGATACGTCATCAGCACTCTTTATCAAGAAAGAGAAAAGGACATGTTTATTTCTTCCTCAGAAGAAAGATTTTTTTTAAAAAGCTAAAATACAGGAATAATTCTCAGTAGAATACTTCTAGTATTCTAGTAGAATAGTAGAATAGTTCTCCACAAGCAAAGCTTTCTTTGTGATTTTCAACAACTGAAAGGCAGAGGATGAGACAATGCTGCAACACAGCTGCTAAAGAGATGAGGAACTAGGCTGAAAACATGTTTAAGAATAAAACACACCTGTGGTCTAGTATCTTCTTTGAAACATAAACCCACTCTCTGGATAAAAATGATGGCATACAAAACTGTATACAATTAGGTTCCAAAGAGTATTTTATAGCAAACACATGTGCACTTGACTTTTTACAAGGGAAGTCATAAATGTTAATAATATCCAGAGCACTATTATGTCTGAGTTCTTGCTTAAAGCCATAGAGTTTAATCTATAACTATATTACTTATAATTTTATTTTGAAGCTTCATCAGTTAGCCTTTGCATTCCAAGTTCTGAACTGAACTGAAGCAATATAAGTCATTTCTTATATATTATGTTTGCCAATACATATGTTATTATTCATAATATGAATGCTTAAAATTACATATGTATGTATCTATACCCACATATTGCTCAACAAAACCTTTTCTTCTTTCAATCATTTTTTGTTTTTATCAATGGTTGAATTTTTAGAGCATAAATACAGAGATTGATAATATAGTAAGATCAAAAATGCCTCCAGAACACCCTTTGGAGTGGCACCAAAAATTTTCACCAAAACAAAACCCACAACTTCTCAGCTAATTCAATAAGCCAAAATAGAATGTTCTTCCTGCATTAACTCAAAAAGCTCAGACTTTCAAGGAACTGCTGATGCAGTTCTACAGAGGAATTATTTGTGTTTGTCATTTGTACCTAAATAATCATTTGTATGATTTGGCACAGCAATAAAACAGAACAGGTACAGATTTCAATGGATAGTTAGGACTATAGAAAAAATATCACCAGTCTGCTTTCCACTGAGGATCTGTATACTGCACGAACCAGAAAGAGGGATGAAAAAATATCTACAGACCTCTCACATCATGGACATAATCTATTTCAATTTCTCCCCTCAGGATGCCGCTGTAGAGCACCGTATGCCAAAACAACTAGACACAAAGGTAGCTTTTTTTCCCCTGTGCCATCACTCTGCTGAACAATTAATTTCCACAGCACTGTCTCATTTCTCATCTT